AGATGGAGTCACTGAGGCAGTTGGTGTGAGCTTAGGTGGACTCCGGGAGATGGTGGAGGACAGGAAGGCCTGGAAGAATGTTGTCCATGGGGTTGGACATGACTTCACTACTAACAACAACAACAACCACCCCTGGAGGCTAATGGAGCTGAATGGTTCCAGAGGGCTTCGGGGGATTTTCCAACTGATACGGCTTGCACTCCTATTAAAAGTCCTGGTCATGCCGTGGAATGCAGAAATGACCAGGGGGGTTGACATGATTGCTCCTAAGCACTCTCTCTGCTGGAGAAGAGTAGGGCTCTGCAGCATACCCCACAGCTGGGAGTGATGCAACTTCAGATCTGTTTGAGTGCAGATGGAAGAAAACACCAGTAAATGCAATAGAAAACTGGTATGTGCCTACAATCAGGTATATTTTGAGACAGTGAGGGTGGCAAAGAAAAAGTATCTCACAGCCTCTGTTTAATCTTTCCTTTGCTGCCCAGAAGAACTTTTCAAGGTTTTCTGAGGCTTTACATTCTGGCCCCTGGTACATCTTGGAAGCATCTCAGACCCACTGTAATTTATTCACTGGACACTTTCAGGAAAAAAAAACTCTTGCCTCTGCTAGAACTTGGACACTAGAGTTAAAATAGTTGAATCTGTGAAGATACCAGAACACAGCCTGGTCCTGTTTTATTGGTTAAGTTTCAGTTGGTGCAATTTAAGGATGTTGACAAGAGATTACTAACCAGGACCTGTAGATCCAGACTCCTAAGACCAGTTCTGTTCCACTTTAATTGGCTGCCTGTATACTTCCAGTCCCACTTCAAGGTCCTGGTTTTAACCCTTAAACACCTTAGAACCACAATACCTGTCAGAGTGCCTCTACTTGGACAATATGCTCAACCTCTGGAGGCCTCCCCCAAGCACCAACTTCGAGGGAAGCTTTGTGCCCCCCCAATAGTAATTTGTCATCTTTTCAGTGCTGGGTTAAGGCATCCCTCTATCCAAGGCCTTTGAAGATTTCCTTGGACACTCAGGTGCTTGAGAGGGATTACTCATCCCAGATTCTGTTTTGCAGAAACGTTCCTTACTAATTGCTTATTTAACTATTTTAAACTTTTCATTTTTCCCTGTATTTTGGTCTGTTATATGAATTGTTGTAAACTGCCCAGACAGTCATTGCTGCCTCCAGATAGGGATAAAGCAGAAAAAATACTTTTTTCTTCTGCTTCTTCATCTGCGATGCAATCCTAGACATATTACCTGGGAAGTCACACTGACAACAGTGATGGACTTTCATCCCAGCGTGAAGAGGATACTGGTGTCCAATAGGGTGCCAGATAAGGCTTCATCTGAGCGTCTCCTGCCAGAGCGACCTGCTCTACAAGCGCTACAACTGACCCTGAGGCGTGACTCCTCCTCTGGCTTCTTCCTTCCTGATAAAGCGGCGACGACTCAACATGAGTCACCCCCACGCTGCCGCCGCACTAGCCGCCCGCGTGGAAGCCGAGCGAGCACGAAGCGAAGCTGGTGGGCGAGAACTTCCGGCTTGTAACCGCGGGAAAATGAGGCCACGAAGAGGCGGGACAGGGAGACGGCAGCTAAGGTCTGAGCCGGCGGGTGTGTTGCCCATGGTTAAGATGGTGCCGAAGCAGTAGCTTGTGCCCGGCTGCAAAATGTCGTCCTTCTTTGCGTAATTGGGTATTGTACGCTAATCGCAAAACGGTCCAAGCTGTGCTGAGGCTGAGCTTTGCTATTGAAGGGCTGTATTCGCTTGCGCTGCAAACAAGCAAGCAAGCAAGCAAGCAAGCAAGCAAACCAGAAACCTACCATAAATATTATACAGGGATGTGAACGTTTAATAAAATCAGATCAGGAATAATTTAACCCAGCTTGTTACTGAACCGTTTTTCATGGTCCAATATGATGTTAAAGCCCGGAACAAAACGGCAGGCTTTGCCTCGGCGAAACTGCAAACGAACAGTCAGTGGGCATATAGTGTGTAGTGCATTCCGCGTGTTTACGCGGAAAATAAGTCTCGTTGTGTTCAGAGAACTCATTCACTGAAAAGGTTTACAGTCTTAATTCTTGGGATCTGTACATGTTGCCAGTAGTGCGGAATTTAAAAAACCGTTTACTAGTATTGCTTTAAAATTGATTTCCATAACCTGATCACATTCGGAGTTAGCCATTTCTCTTCATCAAGGGTTTGTTTTCTGTTCCTCCTTTAATGGCATAGTGGTATTATACTACAGCAGATTTTTAAGATTTTTTGCATCTCAGAAGGAAAAAACATCTAATTACTGGAAAAAAAGTCTGAATAAGGTCTGCGAATGTGGCGCGTTTTGAGAATCAATAGAACGAATAAACGCTAAGTAAAAGCTCCTCCGCTTTGCACCCTTTGAGTGACCTTATTTGAAGTGCAAACCTTTCCTCCTCTAGTTTATTAATTATTGCCTCAAATAAACTGGTAAGACGAAGCAATGAAATCATTAGGCAACGGTTTATTGTACAAGTTTATTGGACAAGCCCAATTGCTTTTAGCCCTACAGGAAAAAAAAAAAAGCAAGAAAAGAACTGCAGTGCCCATCATGCTTTAAACTGTAACGTAGTTCCCAGCATGCTTCGCGCTAGAATCCCTGGTTTCCTTTAGTTGCATTGATTTCTGGGAGATATAGTTTTACAGTGCCGGTCGGGCTGCTGAAGCTGTTTGCAAGGAGGCGCCAAGATGGCGGCGCTGTGGGGCGGCGGCGCGGGATATGCCGGTGGTGGGGGGACCCTTCCTCTGCGAGGTGCCTCGGAGTCCGTGGTGGGCAATGGCCTTTCTTCCACGCAGGTAGTGGCCGGGGCGGTGGAGCTACGGCAAACCAGCCTAGGAGATTTTGCTAGCCGAGGCGGCTGCTGCTGGATGGACACGTGGAAGCGGCGTGGCCGGCACAGAGAGGTGGCACCGTCACTACAGCTCTTGTGGCGGCCCTGGGAGGGGAGTCCTAGAAATAGTGAGCTATGCTGAAGTTAGGTGGGCGTAGGGGTCCTTCGAACGATGCTTTAGGGCAGGCATGGCTGTGCCTTGGCTTGCGAATGCTAGTCAATGGGGCATTTAGCTCGTGTTTTAGTAGAGTTGGTAGTGATGAGAGCGTGCTGGAGAGAGACTTGTTGGGTGGGCTAGGGGCGTAATATAGTGTCCTGGAAGAAATATCTAGAGCAGGGTCTTCAGGTGTGGAGGAAACTTTCGAGAGTTACGGCTGTCGAGAGCCCCGAGATACGGCGGTAGAAAGTTTCTAAGGTAGGGCGTTCCTGGCGTCGTTAGGTTAGGCAGGGGCCCTCAAGGGTTTGAGCGACTGGGAGATGCTCCCACTCTCAACGCGAAGGGGCTGGAACATTTCTGATTTGGCTGGCGCCCGGGTACAGCGAAAGGAGGAGCTGCCCCAAAGTTCACGAGCATCCGTAATCACAGCATGCTCTGCACAACACTGGGCCTTCGTGGCATTTAACTGCCGGTCGTGAATTTTTAAAAATTTTTTAAAAAAATTCATTTCAGTGATGGGGCTTGTGTACAAGTTCTGCCCCCATTCAATCTCGTCATATGTAGTTTGGAATACTTGTAGGGGTGTGACTTGTTTCAGCTGGCGGGAAGGGGGCAGCAGTATTCCTAATATGTTGGGAAAGTTTCTCTTATGTAAAAAATGGGCCCTGGTGCTTTTGCTTGTCTTAACTCCTCCCCCTTCTTCGTTCCTGGATATGTTCATCTCAGCCTTCTCACTTTCTGATCTTGTTCCAGCCCCATTTGATGATGCTATCTTTCAGCAGTTTTAATTCTTCTGGGAGAATGCACTTTCAGTGCTTGCCTCCGTTTGCTCCAAATTCACTGGCTTCTCAATGGTTCTTAGAATCTGATTCTACCAGTGTCCCTGATTCTATCAGTTTTTTTAAAATATCTGGTAACTCTCAGATTCTTTTTTTTTTTTTTTGCAGAAAGTGGTTTAAGAAAAGACATTTATGAGAATTGAGAGTGTACACTCTTGTTAGGAATTCTAACATGACCGGCTGAAGGGGTGGGAAAAAACACCAGCAGCAGGAGCAGGCAATGTGTTTTCAGTTTGGTGCCAAAGCTGCTGCCTCATCATCCCCACAGGCAGGGTTGGCCATAATACACCTCACCTGGGTTGAGGGGAGGGTGTCAGTTAACTCTTTCCTGCCTGTACCAACAGTATTAGCATATCTGTAGGTTATCTAGGTCAGGATACCTGCCCAGGTGAGGTGCAGCCCAGACCAAATCTACTTTTAAATAATGCAGAGACATCATCAGTAGATGATGGCTGTCCTTCACCATGAAAGGACAGTAAAAGGGGGGTCCTCCAGGGGTCTGTATTGTCCTGCTTGTCATTCAGTCCTTGTTCACATACAGCAGTAAGGATTCATGAAGCTTATTTGCACAGGAATGGCAAAAATGATCTTTTACTGGACAGCCTAAATAATCATAGAAAGTGATGTGCTTTCCAGGAGCCTAACCTTTGGCAAACATGAATATTTAGTACTGCAAATGAGAAGTACACCCTTGCACACCAGAGAGACTGGAGAGGATAGAAAAATCTAACAAACTGGGTTTATTAGCACATGAGAGACTTTTGATTTGGTTGAGAGACTGGTACAGAAAACAGATGCTGTGAGTTCCTTTTGATCAGTTTGCAGTTCTGGATGCCCTGGTCACTGCTGTAATAGTTTTTAAACTGTGGTCCTCATGTTGTGTTGGTCATGTGAGAACTGTCCTAGCACTACCCCACTTAACCAGGGTAATGTGAGAAACTTTGGGGCATTTGACTCCAACAGCACTGGAATCTAGGACAGCACTTGTGGTTGGGAGGAGCCACATTTTGGGATCCTCCAATATAGCCTGGTAGCACCAAACTACACCAGCTTGCATGCCAGCAGTGAAAGCAAAGCGGGTCAAATTCATGATGGGGAGAGAATGAGGAGGCTGTAACTCTATACATCTTTGCCTGGGACTTACTTTTAAGTAGACACACATCCTTCTTGTTTAGGTCACTCTGAACATTCTAAAACAAGAGAAGTCTATATTTACTTCATTAATATGATGGTGTTTTAGGATAATTATGTATTGATCTGCTGCTGTATTTTAAATTTTTGCATTGCTCCTGGGTTTTCAGTTTGATTTTGATTTATTCTGTAGCTTTTAAACTCTGCCTGTGGGCACTGCTTTGAGGAAGACAAATACATACAATGGTCCCATAGTTTTTATAACAGCTGAAGAACTGGCAGTCCTTGTTGCTATTACCCTTTTGGAGTTTGGTTAGTCCAAAACCTGAACTTTTAATGTAGCAGGCATATATATTTGTGAGGAAATTGCTCTGTTCTCCAACACTCCCATAATAATTAGTGACCCCTCACAGATATGCACATTGAACTGAAACAGCATCCTAGAGTATGGTTGAGAATGGGTTGTCTTTGAATCCTGGGTTGTTGAATCATGGATTTTCAAATGTGTGAACCCTGCTGTATGCTTAAATAAGGGTTGTTAAATACACAAAATCCAACACAATCTAGTATTGTTGGATTGGAATTCATAATCCAACAATAAACCATGGGTGGTGCATTTCTGGATTGGTTATGATTAAACCATAGAGCAGGTTCAGACATAACAAGCCACAGTTCAACAACTACATATACTTAATTCATAGTCTGGATTGTTGCTTTGTGCAAACCAGGCCATTACCACGTTTAAGATTTGTACCTTTGTTGCCTTTGGAAGAGATGATTGATCACTAAATTTGGTGACCTGGTATCTAATAATTTCTCTTAGCTGTTTACCTGTTTGTGTGTGTGTGTGCCTGCATATGCTGAAATAGCAAAGAAGTCACCTTACACTTGCCATTGGCATTTTAACTCTAATGTTGCTTTTATTTGTTCAGAGTGTCATCATTGTGCATAGTACCTGACAGAGTTACATAACCAAAAAGGCAGGCCTCTGCCCTGAGAAGCTAATCTTAAACTAAATAGATCATTCCTGCTCCCTTACCATATACATACCATTGACCATTGTTATATAACATTTATAAATCCACATAAAAAAGAAAATATTTGCCAAATGCAAGTGTAATACATTGTAGCTTGAATCATAGAAGTTACTTACTTGGAAGGGATTGTAATGCTGCTGAGTTGGATAATTTCAAGGCTGCCTTTTATCCATCCATACTACCAAATCTTTCATGGTATGAATACTGGGATCTTTCCTGGCTGGTAGAGTGGTATCTAGTGGTAGTCTGTACAGGTGTTGTTGACTGTTGAAGAATGGCACATGTACCTAGTGTTGCTGGCCATTAAACATAAAACAACTATGTGCTTAGTAGCAATTTCCAGTACAGAATGTTGCAGCACTTCCATGAAAATTCAGTTTGAATGCTCCTTGGCTTGGTAGCTTACTAGGTTGTATGGGAGGCATTCCATAAGGAACTTTAATGGAGTTACAGCAGTTACTCGTGTGTTGTTTTTTCTTTTTTGCTAAGCCATCCAGGGACATGCATGCTTTCCAAAAGCTTGCCATCCACATTCTCTTTCAGTGGTGTTTTCCTAGTAGCAAACAGCCAGGGCTGGGGCCTCCCAGAATTCCCAATGTAGTCATGAGCTCTGTCAGAACCTGCAGTAAAGTCAGGATTTGCCAATCAGCAGAATACCCATCTGTCGGTTCAGCAGCTAAAGAATATTGGTCAGGAAGGAATGGGTGACTCCTCACAGAGATCATGCTTGTTTGCTGACTCGGTCAGCACTGATTTGGGGGCATACTGCCTACTCGTTAATTCTGCTCTCAGTGAAGCTGCCGCAATGAAATGGATATAGCAAATATGAACTACTTTCTCGCTTCTTTTTCCCAGCTTTGTTTTTACATTTAAATTGATTCCCCTGTTTAATGTGAGCTGTTTTTAGTTACTGTTCTTGTGCAGCATGGGTTTGGTGCTTCTCAATTCCCGGTGTGGCCAGTCCAGGTTCATCAGATGGCCCTGTCTCCTCCTCTGGCCCTATGTTCTTTCCCTCATGCCAGTTGTTTGGTGGTTTCTCACCTTTTACAGTTCTTCCCATTCCAGGAGATCAAAATGACTCTTCCAAGGCTGGGTTACTGGCAGAGTTTGAAGTTAAAATATGCTGGTATTTGGGGAATTTTGATCCTGCCTTTTTGCCTTTGGCCCCACCCCCTGCTGGGAGCAGCCACCAAGAGCTTCTCTGAAATTGAATTGGGCCTTTGGGAAGAGACAGGCACCACTCTACTGCTGTACATATTATGAAGACTCTCTTGACTATTTCTAGCCCTTCAAAACCAATGAAAAGCTCAGCACGCCTCTTTAGCTGTAAATGCACCTTCCCTTCCCAAGATTACAGTGCTCCACCAATGTTTGACCCTGCTTGGAATGCTTCAGGTACTGGGCCTGAAAAAGGGGATGTTTCACCCAGTAGATAATAAGATACTGCCTACATACACAATACCCCACAGAGCCTTGCCTCCAGGCATGAGACTTCTCTTTGATATTCTAGTTTGAAAACTCTGTCATGTGATTGACAGAAGAAAGTTCCATGCTGTGGGTTAATCAACAGAAGGGCATGGGAATAGGCAACCAGGGAAAGCAGCACATGAGGGCACCCCAGCTTTCTGTGAGAAAGATCACACTGTTTTGCTAGGCAGCCTGGCTTCTCTGATAAAATGACTGTTTTTTAAATGTCTTGTTTTGCATAGTTCTTGATAACTGGGATGTCTTTTCTAGATGCTGTTCAGTGAAAAGGGCTAAGGGTGTAATCCTGTGCACTCTGAGACAGAAAAAAGCCCTATATTTCCCAGCATTCTCCTGCCAGCATGGACTTTAAGTGGCCTTCTTGGCAGAGGGTTTTACCTTGAAGGCATGCATGCTTGTGACCTTGATGATCTAATTCAGCTTTTTCCAGCCCAGCACCCTCCACATGGGTTGGACTACAATTCCCATTTTCTCCAATGAAGATTGTTATATTGGGTAGAGATTATGAGAACTATAGTCCAGCACATCCAGATGGTACTAGCATAGGCAAACCTGATTTAAAACAAAGGTATTTGCTTCTTAGAGGTGTATAGTGATACATCACCTCTGCCTCTGAAATGCAGCTTAAGATGCTCATCTCTAAAATAGAAGCCCTTTTTTGCATTAAGTCTTTTCTCTTTTTAAAATTACTTCTTCATGTACAATATTTATGCATTCCACTGGCTATCAGTATTCTTTGGGTGGCTCACAAAATGTCACTGTATTAATTGTTTACAAGAAACAAGCAGTGGAAAAACAACCAAATGACATTGTATCAGTTACAAAAAATCAGAAAAATGGTGGGTTAAAATTTAGCATTTAAGATTGCAATTGCGCATGAGAATTTTTTTTCTCGGGCTCCCAGATAGTATAATCTGAGGCATGAACATGACAAATGAACACCTGCCAGCTGCCTTTCTCTGCTGTTGTTGAACACAGTACAACAAGCATTTCCCTAGCATGCGGCATATGGGGTACACTTGGTGTTTGTGGGGTGAAAACTAGTAGAGGTAGGCCTGATTATTAGAACCATTTGGAATAAAGAGGGCAATGGCATTAGATTAGGGACAACTCTTAGGAAAGGTCTGATAGCCTCCCCAACTTGGTGCCCATCTTTTGTGTTAGAATATAGCTCTCATCCACCCCAGCCAGCATGTACAAGGATCATGCCAGCTTGGGATAATTGGAATTGTTATCTTGATATTTTTGGAGAGCAGCAGGTTAGGGATCAACCTGTAGCTCCAGTGAGTTAACCCTAACCTTAATCCACTGGCATTGCCTTCCCAGCTTTTCTCGCTGCTTTTCTCACCTGCTGCTCTTTATCTCCCACTCCTTCCCCCACTGTAGTACTTGTTGGCAGAGGATTTGCACTTGGCCTCACTGGAGGCAGAAACCATCCTTGAAGCAGGAGAGTTCCTGGAGACAATGCAGAGCTACATAGACTCCTCCGTCATCTCCATCATTGAGGATTTCAGCAGCCTAACTGAGGTATGGTGTATTCTGTGTAGCTGGAAGTGAATGGCCTCTCAATTGTTATATATTGGCTTGGTATAGCAGCCTGCAGTAGTCAGTCTTGTGTGAAAGCCCTGAACTGGAAAAAAATGGATGTTCTAATTTCTGTTCTCAGCATAAATATTGCAGACCATGGGAATCAGCTGCAATTCACTTCTGTCATTAAATTGCATTAGCTTGTGGTCATGTGTCTTTTAGGGCTTAGGGATGTCAAAAGTGATAATGGAGTTTTCTGGGTTGCAGAAGTTTATTCCCTTGGTCATGTAAAGAACGGTTTAAGCTTCTTCTTATGTAGTTTTGTTTTGGAAAGATATTAATGATGGGCTGATACTCCTCCCTTCCGGATTTTTTCCAGCAATAATGAGAGCAAGTAGTTACCAAAACAATTCAAAAGATGGTTTATGGATTAGCACCAGTGGAGCTTTCCTTCTGTCCTTTCAGCTTGAGGGTTCAAGCTGAAAGGTACATTGAAATGTTACTATTATGTATCTGGGATGAGATAGTGTTTGCCTGGATGCTTTGGATTGGTCATTGACAGCTCATCAGCATATCACTGGAAACTAGAAGAAGCAGAATAATATCCACGATGGTTTGTTATAGTAAGTGGATTTGTCATGTCATGGAAATATAGCCCAGGTCACCCAGAATGGATTGCTTTTTCCAAATAACCACCAGCTAGCTGCCTCCTTCCCTGAACTGACCCTGGGTAAAACTGACTCAACTATCCTTGAGTTTTGTGTATACACTTGGATGGCTTTTCCAGATCTGGTTTGTTTTTCTCTTGATTACAGACAAAAGGCTGCATGGATGCAGAGAACGAGCTTTCACTGTTGACTGCAATCACAGAGATTCTGGATAGCACTGATGATGAATTTCTGTCCCCCTTTGACACTATTCCTGACTCTGAGTTGCTGACATCACCCAGGGGTTGTGACAGTTCTTCGGTATGATCTGATGTCTGGTATTATTTCTAGGACAGAACGTTTTTCTGTAGTAGTCAATTTTAGGCTGGGTCAGCATAGCATCCTGACTCCTTATGGGTTGCACCCAATTCCTGGTGAGGTTGTTTAATAAATAAGCTTGATAGAAGCCTGCTTAACCTTCACTTTTCTCTAGTGATGCCTGGACTGAATGCCTCATGACAGTGGTCTCACTGGACCTGTGCTTGGATTCATATTCATATTTGTCTCCATCCAAAGAAGAGTTTGAATTACACTTCTCCGTTTCAGGCTGGAGAGTTACTCTTCTCCAGCCTGCAGAACCTTTCCCAACCTCATGTCTTTGCAGCATTCTTGTCCATTGGCCATACTGGTTGGGGTTGATGGCAGTTGAAGTTCATTAAATATGCTGGACACCAGTTTGGGGAAAGCCTGCTGTAGGCGTTGCATACATGCTGTTTGTTTTTGGGATTTAAATCTCTGCTTTTCCAGCTTGCTGCTGTCATCACACTAGCAATATATGAGCAACAGCTTCCTGTTCTTGGCTAGTAATTTTTGGTTTTGGGGAGCAAGAGCACAGCTCAGGGATCATGCTTATCACCATGATTGTCATCCGAACTAACAGTTACGGGGGTGCCTCTCTGCTTACTGAATGCATAATTTCAGTCTGCATGGAATGGTGCAGTTCTTTTGACAGTCACATTGTTTTTAATCTCTGCTGACAATTGTGGCACCATTTTCTCCTGGCTAAAAGAAAGCACTTTAGGGTGGATTCATGTGTATGTGTAAGCATCCAGAATATCCTGGCAAGGAGCCCTCTTTGAGGTTGCTTCCAGATCTGACAAGTGAACTTTGCATGGTCAGAGTGCCCTCTGGTGGACAAGTTCAAACATTTATTAGAAGTTTTTAAGTTATGCGTTTAGGGATGCGAAAAGGGCTCCTCTCAATTGGCTAAAGATAATTACAGCTACTTCAGGTGCTTTGGGAACACCTCAGTCTATCTATTTTATATATACAAGGAATGCAAGGTACCCTATGTTGGTCTCCTACTCATTCATTTTTTCTTTCATCAACCTGGTGAAGTAACTCAGGGTGAGAGTCAAGAGATTGTTCCAAATTCACCCAAGTTGAGTTCACAAAACATGACAGGTAAGCCTATGTGGCTACCACTGTTTGTGTTTGTCTAACCATGATCTACTAGACAGCTCTTCACATGGTTTCTACATTATTGTGGTTTTTATCCTCTCTGTTTAGTCTGCCTGCTATTGGCATATATCCCACCATACTTGAAATTCAATCCCAGCTCTGCTTATGCTGCCTGCCTCTTCCTCATTGGTCCACTCATAGAGGCTGAATGGCTAGAGCGGCTCCTTGAGTTGCCACTTTTTCCAGGGAATTCCATGGTAGTTACATTTATATTTATTTATATTTATATTATGATTTATATCCTGCCTTTTTCCTACAAAGGGCTCAAGGCAGCTTACATCATCTCTCCTCCTCAATCTTACATACATACTTTGGAAACTGAGATCCTATGTGGAGTGGAGAACCATCAAACAAACCATTGTTTCTTATCATGGTTTCTAAAGACCAGACTTAGCATGATGCAATATCATGGCAGGGTTCAGACAACACAACAGACCAACAATGGTACAAAACCTTCATGTCTTGTCATGTTGTTTGAACCCAGCCCAGTGAGTTTCATGGCTGAATGGGGACTAGAACCTCAATATGCTGAGTCCCAGGCAGCACTCTGATCCCTACTCCACAGTGTTCCTTAGTATCTTAGGCAAACATGGCTTGCTAGAAGTTCAACTTTTGAGCAGTTTGACTTCTACTGGTTGAATGAAACTGGTGCATAGGATCTCCAGATGATATTGCCATGAGTTTATTCCCTGTTTCCAAACTGCTTTCCTGTGTCAGTTTGAAAGGTTTGTCAGCAGGTCTCTGACACCTCCCCCCCCACCCCCCAATACAGTAGAGGATTTCCAGGAACCTCGACTTGGCACCATTATGACAGAGAAGGTAAGATGGTAGGCATTTGTGGACTGAGCAGCACGTGTTCTGTTTAATCTTTCTAACTTAGGTTTCCCTGCTAGTACCTCTTCAGTCAGCATTTTCCTGATTAGTTAGATCAAGATCATTTGACTCCTTGGTTTGGATGTATCTTGCTGGATTGGAGAGAATTTACATTCCAATATAGAGACTGAATAAGTGCAGCTTCTGTTACTCTATTCCTTAAGAAATTGGAGAAGCATTGCTACTTTAGCTGTTCTTTGCTACATGCTTATCAAAGTCACAAACACATCTAAATTGAATTTCAGCAGTGGTTATTTGCTATATTTCAGCATCGATAGACACTGTAAAACTATAGTTTTGGGGAAACAGCAAAAATAGTAGCAGCCATAGTTTATTGCATAATCTTCCTGACTCCCTCCTTGTTTTCTTCTTTAGGTTGAAGCCACTGCCAGCCTTCCTTTGGCACCAACTCCAGATTGTCCCAAGGACTCCACTCCATCAAAGAAATCCAATAGTAAAGCACCCAGGGGGCGGAGGCCGTTGTGGCTTAGGGAACAAGAGCAACCTGGGCTGCAGCACAGTGACAGGGAGCAAAAGGATGGCGATGAGCCAGCAACGGGCTGCAGACAGAATTTTGTGGCAGGTGTGAAGGAGATCCCTGCAGCATCAGCAGCAAAAGAGGCTGAGAGAAGCTATGGTGAAAGCAATGGCCCTTGTATCATTGCCCCAGAGAGTATCTCCCTCAGTGAGCTGGTGAAGTCAATGCATCCTTACTGCCAGCCCACCATCACTGTATGCCTGAGTCCTGAAAGCCAGCCCCTTGCTGAGGAGCTCCTTGCTGGCCCAGTTGTTTTGGAGATCGTGCCTGACGATGGTGAGAGCATGGAGATCCCAGTGGTTCTGCAGAATATAGAGGTAGAGCGCCCCTGCCAAACTGAGAGCAGCTGCACAGCTGACCAAGTGAATGAAGAGGCAGTTCCTCCCCTGGAAAAGGCATCACCCCAAGACAGTGGAGGCCTGAACAGAGACCCGGACTTGGACAAACAGGCTGAGGGAGTAGACTGGACTGTTCTCCCAAATGCAGAAGATGATCGTCCACAGGAAGCTTTGAAATCAGCAGGTGACAAACAGAACAGACCTGAGCCTGGCCAACTTGCTCCCAGAAACATGAGGTCCAGAACCTCAGGGAAGGGCCATATACATGAACTCACCAAGAAGAGAAGGAAAAAATCGAATAGGGGAACTAAGCGACAAGAGAAGGCAGTAAACTGCAAGCAGGTTTCAGCCTGTGGTGAAGACCATGCCCAACCTAAACCAAGAAGCCCTGTTCCAGATCTTGACTTTCCAGAGATGCAGCCAGAGAAAGCTGGAAGCCAAGGGCAGGGTGAATTGCTTCCAGATGATGCATCCCAGGCAGTGGAAAGCCAGGACACTCAGTTGGACTTGCCATTGAAGTGTGAAATGGAGATGGAGCCCAAAAACCCAGATAAATCAAGTTTGAAAAGTGCGAGGATTTTGCCAAGCACTCAGCCCCAGGGAATTGCAGACACTGTACCTACAGACCAGGCAGATGTGCAGAGGGAGGCCAGCAAAGGAGGCCAGCCTGCCCTGCCAGGGAATGAAAAGGCTAACCTGGAAGCCTCCCAGGTGTCCCCCTGTGGCACCATGGATCTTGTAGGGCAGCCTCCAGGAAGCCCCCTTTGCACCAATAATGAGGAACTCAGCTTCCCCACAAAGGAAGCCAAGCCCAGGCCTCTGAGCCTGAGGGAGTACAGGCAGCGCCAACAACAGCGCCAGTCTAATAATGGAAATACTAGGACCACAGCAGAGAAACAGATGACCAGCAAGTGGCCCAGTCTTCCTGAGCTCCCCAAAGAGCTTCCAGAGCTTCCTTGCCTCACAGTCCCTCCTCCACTGCCCTCCACCAAGGCCGCTGCGCCTGGAGGGGCAAAGGAGCCTGAGAAGCCTGCCAGTTGCTCTACACTTCCAGCCCCAGCTGCAGGCAAGGCTGGTGCGATGCCGCACTCCGTGCTGCCTCCCACTGCCCCGGCTGTGCCAAGGCCTGCTCCTCCTCCGCAGCCTGGTTCTGGTGCCGTAGCTGTTCCTGCTGTGTCTCCACAGCCTAGTGCAGTAGGAGCCTTTCCTCCTGCAGGAGTGCCGGTGCCCCCAACGCTGCCCCCACCTTACCTACCCCCAGCCCCAGGTTCTTTCCTACCACCCCCTTCCAATTCCTACATCTTGAGCTCACCACCACCACCACCAGTGCCTTCCTGGTCTCAGTTTGTCCCTGTGCCAGCCAACTACCAAAGTTTGCCCCCTCCACCTCTTGCTCCTGAAGCTCGCACTCCTGTTTTCCATGCTGTTCCTCCCGTGCCCCCTCCAACCTGGCCTCCCCCACCTGTTCCCCTGCCACCTTTTGCTGCCAGCCTGTCTTACAGCTCTGTCGACTGGGCTCCGGGACTGCAGCCTCCTTACTGGTCTGGTATTCCAGTTCCACCTCCACAATTGCCCATCCCATACGGCAATCAAGGAGCTGTTGTGCCGAGTCCCTCAGTTGGCACCTTACCCGCACCAACTATTCCTGAAGGGATGCATGGCCAGCAGAGTACAGCTTTGACACTAGAGCCTTCTCGCTTCTGCCTGCAGTCAAGCCAGCCTGCCCCAGGACCCCAAGTACAAAGCCCTTCTGCTGTCAAGACTGCTCCCAGAAGAGTGTCTGATCCGAGGAGGAAAGCACAGTCCTTGGCCGCCCAGCCCAAAGCGGAGGTGACACCAAGCAGTTTTCAGCTATTGGGGAAGCAGCCTTCTGCATCAGTTACTGAGTCTTCAGAGGAACCACCATTGACTGGGCATAGCAACAAGAGCTCCCCCACCCAGTCCTTATGGGAGGACCGTTCTATTCCTGCATCCCAGCAAGGCAGGGATCCCACTGGCACACTGAAATCCTCCAAAGATCCCCTTTCTTTGCCTGTTCTCCAACCGGTGGTGGATGCCTCAGCCCTCTCTGGCCCCATGGAGAAAACTTTCACTAAACCTACTGCAGGTCAGAGTGCCAAAGATGTTTCTCCTGCTTCCCAGCTACAAGAAGAAAACCAGTGTTCCCTTCCAGCTGCCTCAGTGCCAGAAAAGCTGACAGTTAAAATGGAGACACATATCAAGGAACCTGCCCCAACAGTTTCCAGTTCTCCAGCAGCATCACTGCCCCCCAGGGTACATGAAACTGACCAGCTTTCCGATAAACCACAACATACATGGAAACACAAGCCTCTCATCAGCATTTCACAGTGCTGCCGCAATAAAGACATCATTCAAGCATTTATCAATGAGATTGGTGAGTGACTGTGCCATCGGAGGATGTGGGGGCAGGTTACCTGGTATGCCTGGCACCCATGACCTAAGAATGTTGACCATAGGTGGGGTGGGCCCCAGTCACAAATCAAGGCATCTCTCATATTTGTATTCTGTCAGGTCTAGCTCTGAGGTATCCTTTTGCTGCTGACATAAAGCTGTATCTAAATGTGCATTTCCTCTAAAGCAGAGTCGATCCCTTTCCATCATCTTTTGACTAAGCTCTGCTTGTACTTTTCCAAGTAGCTGCTTATGTAAGCCTTGTGTTGTTTGCTTATGTAGATGTGTTTGCACATTCTTTCAGCTAGCATCTCTAAAAGAATGGCTTATTTTCTCCTCAGCTCTTCACAAATGACAATAGGATTGGGGATGGGGGAAGCAGGGGCTGGAGGGTAATTGACCACAGCCTGACTCAGGGACACATCTCATGAAATACCATGAAGCCTCCAACAAATATGCATAATTGGTTGCCATTTTCCTTTTTCCACCCTCAGGAATTGAAGCCTCTGACTTGTCCAGCCTCCTAGAACAATTTGAGAAGACAGAAGGTGAGGAATTGAACTAGTATTGTGCTGACTTGTGTTTTCTTGATCATTCTTCTCGCTTCCTTAGCTACGTTGGGTTCCTCAGAAGAACAGTTCTTGATCTAAAATGCTCTTGATCGCATTATGTCTCATGTGGAAGTAGTGGCCCAGCTTGCCCTTCCATTTTGCTTCTTTCCCCCAAAACACCGCAGCAGCTTTCAGAAATGGTATAGGATGGACCAAGTTTCATTCACTGGGCTGGGTAAATATATTCTTCATCTCAGTTCATCAGAAAATTTCCCAGTTGAGCAGAAAAAAATGTAAGGTTGGTCCTCAGAATGCATTTTGCAAATTATAGCTATTGGCATAATATTGCTTAGCCCGTGGATCAGCCTGTGGATTATGGAGAATATATTAAGATTGCCTTGAAGTAGAAGAGGACAAGAAAGGAATAGAAATGTGTGCTTTGGGCTAGTTGCTTGAAGCCACAGCAAGATTTAGGAAGTTATGCAGGATACCAAAGCTAGACCTCTTCCCCTTCCATCCACACGTCTCCCCTTAGATATCTTTTTGCCAGCATCTTTCTAGCATATAGACTGTTCATAAATAAAGCAGGAACATGTAAGCATTCTGCCTTCTTGCTTTCTACCCATGCTGTACAGCCTATGGATTCTGCATTTCTGGGCTGCTGTCCATGATGTCTGAACCAAGAATTGTAGGTTGCTGCGGGGAGGAACCCAAACCTGTAACCTCAAAACAAACCATTTCACTATCAGACCATTCATGGCTAGCCAGGGTTTGTATAAGCTCTGGATAGCCATGGCATGAGAGCAAAGCTGCTCTGTCTCCAAATTGGTATTCTGAAGGGGTTTAAAAATCAATTCCTTTGCCATAAGTTGTGTATTTTAAAACCCTAATGGGGCATAATGCATGCTTGCATGCTTTAGGAGGAGCTTCTGACTTTTAGTGCTAGTTTGTTTAGCTCTTTTTGCTAAAGTTTTTGTCTGTTCTTTCTCTAGCCAAAAAGGAAGCTTCTGGTATGGCAAAGTCCAAGGAAAATGTGGCAGCAAGGGATGATTGGTAAATATGGAGGTCAGCCCTAAGGGGAGCCTCTTTCTTTTTCAGTTTGCTTGGCATATAGCACTGCATTTGTGTAAACAGGCTGGGCAGTGTGTGAGCAGATCCTGAAAGGTGTTGCTTAAGCCACTAAGGAGCACCAGGCATCCACAACTTCAGTGCTATGTATGCTTGGTTGGTAACAGCTGAGGGTGTGTAACATCCTGTTATAAATTTCTTTTCTCCCTCCTTCAGCTCTGAGGCACAGCGAGAAAAGAAAATGGTGGACCGGCTTCAGACACCGGAGCTCACCAATGTTGCAGGTGAAGGCTTTAGAGTTGATCAGCTTTTCTGTTAGGAGGTGACCTCAACGCTCTTTGAAGTCGAAATGCCAGAAAAATCCTAACTAGAAATTAGTATCTACTTCCTCTACTGGGGAGTGGGGGAATGGAGGAGAGGAAGGGCTTATGGTGGTTCACTGTCCGTTTCACATAACATTTTTGTCCCTTAAGCAACCTGAGTGCATTTTTAAATTGCTTCATGAACTCTTCCAGAGGTGTATTGTGGGTTCTATTTTGATGTAGTCACACAATGAAAGAATGTTGTGGATTAGGGAGGAGGCACACTTATTGTCTGTGGGTGGATGTGTACATGCACAAGATTTGAGAGTACTGCTTGGGTTTAAAAGTTTTATTTGTGTAAACTTTTTTATTCTGCTGCCCCACAAACTCAGAGCAGCTTAAATTAAAAGCATCTAAAAACAGACATGCTCCAAGCAATTATAAATTGCAGTAAAATCACAGAAGATGGAGTGATCTCAGAAAAGCTTTAATTAACTAAAAGTCCTGGTAGAATAAGAAGAATTTACAGCCTTCCTAAAAACTCCATAGCAGAGTTTTAACCTGCTAAAACTCCATCCCGGAGTTTTAACTCTTGCAGATTGAGATAACAAAGCTTTGAGGTTGTTGCCAAGGCAAAAAAAGTATTTTTTGCAATTGCTGTCTTAATCTGCCTTGCCAAAATGACTAGACCCCAGTGTGGGCTTATCAAGTTACGCTGAGCAGTGCACAGGTCACAGTGCCAGCTCACGGGTTTCTGTTCTGGCTGTTGCTTTGTTTCTTGATGGCTTTTTCTGTCTGTCCACAGGCCTGACCCCTCCAGCTACTCCACCGCATCAGCTGTGGAAGCCTTTGGCAGCCATCTCACTGCTGGGGAAAGCTGGTTCCTCAAAAGCTTCCAGGCTTCTGAAACCCCTGAGCAAACCTCCCAGAAAAGCTCCAGCCCCTGTTCATGTTGGCTCTGGGGAACATGACTATTGTCAGCTTGGTGCTGCCCAGAAGAAGGGAGGCTCCCAATGGAATGTCAAACACAGCTTGAATATCGATATAACTCCTGTCAAGACCGAGGCAAAGGAAGTGCCAGACCAACATGCCACAAGCCAGCCTCCTGCTGCCGCCAGAGTGGACCCCATAGGCACCCTCAGTTTGGCTACTGCCTACCAGAATCCCAAAGAGCCTTCCAGCCCTGTTCATGCTAGCCAGGGCCAGGCTAAATTTTCCAGCTCTGTTTCAGTCTCAGAGTCTGTCACATCGGAGTCACCATTGCTGGAAAGCAGCCCACGTAAAGAGCCACTGGATCACCGGACTAGTACACCAAAATCTGTGACTAGGGTCAGCAATGCGCCATGCTCTGTACTGCTAACTCCAGCTGCATCTCCCTGCCGGGATGCAGAGGAAGCAACACTGCAACAACCTCAGGAGGCTCAGAAGTGTCTTGCCTCTAAACGATCCTTGCGATGCTATCGAGGCAGACAGAAGTCAGTCAGTCCCCAGAAGGGCAGCTGGAAAGGTCGGCGAAACCGTGCCAGTCAGTCCTTCAGTTCCAGCTCTGATGGTGATAGTGATGCCTCCTCTTCTTCTACTTCTTCCTCTTCCTCCTCCTCTTCATCACGATCGCGGTCACGGTCACACTCTCGCTCTCCCCCATCAAAGCGCCGGAGGAGGTAAAGTGATAGATTCTCTCTTTTCCAATTGCTAAAATGCAGTGTCCTAAGAGTTATAATGGGCCCGTAGTTGAACTAATAGGCTAATATCATGGACTCCTGTTGACTTTGGACCTCAGATGATAGTGTTCAAAATCATTTAAGCCTGAAAGCTGCAGGTTGGCACATCTGACATGCATGAGACTTACAGTGGAGTCCATGATGGAGTTTTCTACCTGGGTTGTTTAAGTAATTGTGGAGATGAGTGGAGTTCATGAACCATTTCCACTTTTAAATGAGCCAGGAACATAACCAAAAAGCACTCTGTTCCTGGATTGTTTTATGATGTGTTTTAAGTGTTAAAGATCCCAGAATTAACCCAACAACAAACTATGAACTAGCACACGCCATGAAACAACTCAGGAACAGGTTAAAAACTAATGGGTTTGTGCATGGCTTGCTTACCCTGTTCATCCCCAGTAATTCTTGGGACAAGCAACCCAGGAATTGGGGCCATGAAGTGCAAACTTGGGCCATGTGTCCATAAGCCCCCTGCACCCTTTGCAAGCTTACTAGTTTCCTGGAGATGGCTGGGCCCTAAGCTCTCCCACTGAGTAGACGTGCTCATGTTGGTTCTTTTCTAGAGCAGTTTTAGATGGAACTTTTCAACACTTCTTGTTTCTTTAGGGATAGTTGGTAAGTGTCCTTACCGGTTGTATGTCTAGTATTCCTTTATTCCTTGTATCTATTTGCCTTCCTTCTGCTCTTCTTACTGGTAATCAGTTGGTTCTGATCATCTCTGTCAGTATATGAGAAGAGGAGACAATGGGGATTACTTTTAGGATTAGCAAGATGTGAGCCATGTCAGGCCTGTCAGTCTTTTCAACTGGCGCGTTAAACCTTCACCTCTTTACATGACTTCTGTGCTGAAATATATTTAGTATTGTTTGAAGCAGCTGCCAGGGCCTAAGCCTCAGCGGGTATATTCACTGATAGTACACAGGCATGAACTTAAACACGTGATACAAAGAGAGAGACCAATACCAACCAGCTGATCCCAAGATTTTAACTAGTTATGAGAACCCAGGTGCTCAGGAATTCCGATGGCCATTGGAGAATGGACTTTTTCATCCAACAACAGGGTGCAATCTTAAAATCCAGCAATAGTCACTAGCTAAATGATGCCTAAGGTGCCCTGTCATTCATTGTCTGCCCCTACCCTGCTTGGTAGTCCTGTTGGCCCTAATACTGTAGATAAATATGAAAGCTTTAACTTGCATAAACAAAGGGTTTCCATTTGCAGTACTGGGTTTTGTAGGTAGAATGCAATGACCAGACCATGTGTAGTACTTTTGGTATTTCATCTGCCATAAGGATAAAAATGGTTCCCTATCAGGTGACTGATTCTGCTGCCCACTTGTTTCACTTAATGCTATTAGCAGTGAGAAGAGGGTGCCTGTTGCCTAGTCAGACCAAATATCCATTTAGGCCAGCTTTCTCTGCTTTGGCAATGGCTTATCACTGGCAAGGTCTTTTCCATCACCTGCTTCCTTTTTTTCCCCTTAAGATCCCAGGAGTTGGACCAAGATATGCACACCAATGACTACTGCTGGCCCGTAGTCTTTTTAGAAGACCTTGAAACACATCTTAAATGTATGTTAAGGCAAATGTTTCAGATATTTCATGTAGATCACAGTGCTCTGCATATGGAGGCCAGCATCACTCTTTGGCCTATCCCAGAGCATTCTGCCTAGGTAGGACACTTAGGGATTCCTTGCTTTTCTGAAAGAGAAGGCAGGCTGAAATTCTCTATGCAGACACATGGTACAAGTTAGGCGTCTGCTCAGAAAAGCAGCTCTGTGCATGCATGTGCTTATCCATGGGGACACACATGCAGATGTTGGTCTCAGTAGACAAAACATGCTTGTTTCTCCATTCACCCTAGATATCGCTCACGAAGTTCTGGCTCTTCTTCCTCTGAACGTTCATGGAGCCGGTCAAAGGGCAGGTCCCCGTCTTCCTCATGCTCCTCCTACTTATCTAGATCATCATCCCGCTCCCCCTCCTACCGAAGAAGTAGCTACAGGAAAAGGTGAGAAATTTAGGCAGCACTTCTCTTGCTGCCCTGTACTTGTTCTCTGGGATGTTAGAACAGGCAACTTTCCAGTTTGCCGTTCTCCAAATCCTGCCTTCTGTCCTGATCTATTCGTTGTTGCCAAGTCCATTGCTGAATTTGTTATATTTTGCTTCCAGTATTGTGTAGATTTAAGACTGGATTTTTAGGGACAGGTTACTATAGCAGAATGGGAAGGGGTGTTTAAATGTTAAATGAATTATAAATGTTTAATGTAGTTATACTGATGTTCACTAGTTCTCCTTTTAAAAATCTACAGAGGGTTTGATAAATGGTTTACATAGTTTGGATCTTCTTGTCATTTTAGGGGTGGTTCTTTCTTCTTTCTTTAAATAGTGTGTGCAAAACAGTAAAGAAATGACTTCAGTATCTGGTGCAAAATTATCTAGCCAAGGGGTTAGAAATGTTTCTTTGGAGGGGGCTGAATTGTTCCTTACCCAGGTCATCTTTGGGCTGGATGATGTCAGTGCTGCATATTTGAATTTTCTCTCTTCTGGGAGACATGCAAAAATAGGAACTGAGTTGTCACTGCCAAGAGTATCTCCTCCTCCCAGTTCCAGCTGAGTCCCTGGCTTTATGCAATAAGTACCATCCCCACAGCAGCACAAAGGGGGCATGGATGGCTTTTGTCCCACAGCTGTTCTTGTTTGCACCAGTCAGTACTGTGTGGTTTGCCATCCCCATGCTGGGCAGGCTGCCATGGATAGGGTGGTTTTTGTTGTGTGGCTGCACTTGTGGCCACCAGCTGAGCATCTGGCTTTGTGCAGTGCATGTTACTCAGAAGGTCTCCGTGCACTGGAAAGAGCAGCCACGCCTCCCATTGCTGGTTGAGTTGCCCTCTGTTCACATCTCCAGTGTTGTTGCAATCTCAGATTGGAAATAACATCAGGGATTCCTCTGGGAGCTTAGCTTGGACTAGCCTGGAAGCACCCAGGTGCACTCCATGGGCGGGATGTAGAATCTGCACAGACCAGATTAGTCCTATAGGCAAGAGGATCTGCATCCCCATTCTAGCCTGTATTCCCACCACTATACATGTTTATCATCTGAGGCACTTCTTGTTTTTTGCGAAAATGGGAGGCAAATTATCTGATGAGCTACTTTAAAAAAAAAAAAATTTAAACCATAGGTCCTCAAACTATGGCCCTCAGGCTGGATCTGGCCCACCATGACCATTTATCCGGCCTGCCTCAGGTTTTGCACTTGCCGCCAGCTCACCCCGTGTGTGGGGAGGCGGCTTGCTCGTGTGGAGATCGTTTTGGACTCACTCGGAGAAAACAATCTCCAAGCTAGCAAGCCACTGCCTCACACGCCCACCGCTGCCTCGCCTCCCCTCACCCTGCATGCCTGCCTCAGTGCGTGCGCCGCCCCGTCCCCACACCGGCCCATGTGCACCTTTCCAGCTCGTGCCCAGCACCGGTACCTTTCAACTGGCCCCCTGGTGAAAAAGTTCGAGAACCCCTGCTTTAAACTGTTCATCCAAGACAGGGGATTTGACTCCAGCTACACCAGGACCATATATTTTCTTTCTCAATGGATATTTTACTGTCAGCTTCTCTAATCAGATTCCCAGAATCATGGGTCCCTTCCCAGGAAGCTGCTTGCAGCCTGGAGTGGCTCATTCCTGTCTGTGGGCCAAATGATTTGATGGATACTTCTCCTAAACCAAAGAAGCAAGTTGCTCCTTCCCAGTTGCTCTTGTTTCTCTTCTTCCCACACCCCAGTCAGAATACTTAGCCAAGCATTAAGAGATGAAAACACAAAAAGACTTTAATCATAACTCTTTGTCCTAATTTTTTTTAAAAGAAGACACAGATACGATTCCAGCAGTTCCCGTGAGCGTTACCAAAGGCAGAAAATGCAATACAAAAATCGTGCAATAGTGAGTATTGCCAAGGCATGACAGTGTTGTGAGAGAGTTCCTCAGGTGCTGCCTTTTAGGTGGCTGCTTATGGCTCTCTTGTAAAACTTCCCTACTCTGGAACTGATCTGCTGCTATGCTATGGAAACAGTGCTGTTAGCTTCTTTACCCAGAAACAAGCAGCTTTGCTTTACTGCTTGATCAAGACAAGAGGAGGTCTGCCTGCACAGGTAAAAAAAGCCCTGTTCAGGGCTATGTATACATCACAGTTCTGCAGATGTACAAAATGTATCTGGTATGCAGAGAATCCAGTTTCTACAGAATATTTCTTTAGAAATATTAATATTTCATTGTTTAAAAAGAGACAAATTTATACCACTATAGCCTCAGAGATCATCTTGGTAGTGTGTGGACCATGCTTGCTGAAATCTCAAAAAGCAAAAAGATTACTGAATTTTAGACCAAGTATTCAGGTGGTGCATCGGTGTTTTGCTTTCCCCTCCCCTGTGACTAGCAAAGCTAGAAAAAAATCACTCAAAACAGCAAAAATGACAGACTTGCTATACCTGCCAAATTCATACAGGGCAGAGAATTTGGATTGCATGGTACTTACATGAAAGTAAGTCATGTAAAGTAGTAAGAACCCCAGCCTTGTGTTTGCCTGCATACCCTTCAGTTACCTGGGCCATATGTGCCTGCTTGTGCTTCTTTTCCTTGACCCTGTTTTAGTCTGTCAGGCATACTTCCAGGAGAGGACTTGAGTCAGGGCTTTCATTAGAGGTTGGGGCTGAATGTGCAGGAAAAAGGCTAACAGCGGTTGGTATGCCTGTATTAATGAAACATGAGGATGTGCGTCACTTCTGCTCAGTCATTCTTGATGTGCAGGAGGACAAGCCTCACCAGGAGGATCATTTGTTGCTTTTCTGTAACTTCCCTCTGCTTCACTTTCCAAAGAAGAGCTGGCCCTTCTCTCTGTGACCAACCCAGGCACCCTGAGAAGGCATAAAGCAGGTCATTCTCCAGTAAAATTTACATGAACTGGCAGGTTTGGGGTATGTGCTGTTAAATGAAAAGAAGTTTTCTGCTGAATGTCCTTGTTAGGGTGGGTAGGCTGGCAAGTGAAAGAGGTGTTTAATAGATCTGTGGCTGAGAGCAGTCCTCTCCCTAATTATGTACATAGGAAGAGCGCCGTGTTGTCTTCATTGGGAAGATCCCAAACAAGATGACCCGTTCAGAGCTACGACACCGTTTCTCTGTATTTGGGGACATTGAAGACTGCACACTGCACTTTCGGGAGCATGGGTAAGAGAGGTGGATTGAGCCTTTCTTTGGGCAAAGGAAATCTGCATCATGATGCTAATGAGAAGAGGGGGAATGGAATGTGGGATTAAGAACATGTGGACTGTTTTCTTCCACCTCCCCCCCCCGACACACACCTTTCTTACTCTTTGTCCCCCACTGGTATGTTCTGGGTGTAAAAGTCTTAACAGCTTATCCCTCCTACCTGGTAGGGATAACTATGGCTTTGTGACATACCGCTATGCTGAAGAAGCCTTCGCTGCCATAGATGGTGGAAATGCTCTGCGTCGCCCTGATGAGCAACCCTTTGATCTCTGCTTTGGAGGACGCCGGCAGTTCTGTAAAAGGAACTACGTTGACTTGGGTGAGTCCCTAGAGATGATTGTGAGTATGGAAGGATATGAGTTAACTCTGAGCATTGAGCAGCTGGAAGAGTTCAATCCATTGGTGCCTTGACTGCAGGACATTAGCACTGTACGTAATGCTTCAAGCCTCTTGTTTCTGCAGCACATATGGAGGTGACTCCTAATACAGGGCAAGTAAAATTTGACTATAAGCCTCTTGAATCACAAAGCTGTGTATGTGTGCACGCATGTGGTTATCCTGTGTATACTTCTCCCCCAGAGCTAACAGTTCATCGAGGCAGTGGAATGGGATAGTTAACCTTTCCATTCCAGTGAACATAACTGATTACTAATTATAGTTGACTGATTGGTGACTGTCCTTGTGTTTTTCAGATTCTAACCAAGATGACTTTGAGCCTGTCTCTTTGAAGAACAAATATGACTCCCTTGACTTCGACACCTTATTGAAGCAGGCTCAGCGGAGTCTGCGGAGGTAACGCTAGCTCTCCCGGGCTTGTTCTGCCCGGTAGGCATCTTGCCTACACTAGCCTTACCTCTGATTGGCTGTAGGGGCAGGTGAACCCTCAGGCCTAATCGCCATGTCGAGTGTGGTTTTGTAACAAAAATGTCAAAAATCCCGTAAATAATTTTTATCCTGTTTTTCTAGGGACTATTTAAGGGGAAAGATGATGTTAAACTATGAGGACAGGAATGGAAAACACCAACCAGCTTCCATTTACTTAATCACTATGCAGACAATAAACTTCAACCATAGACCTATCAAATTTGCTACTGTTTGTCTGTTCCTGTGTATGTAGGAGTAGAGGATAATAGGATATGAGACCTGTCTGTAACTCTTCTTCAGGGATCTTCAGATGTGAATTTTTTATTCATTATAAACAGAATACAGCAGCAAGGCTTGAGGGATAGGGGATGTAATCACGGCTGTATGTGCACTACCAATATCAATGACATTTCGAGTTTCTTTTTTCCTGTGGAAGAGAGCAAGGAATTATGCAAAGCAGTAAACCTATTAGGCATTGCCTACTGAAATGTCAACTATAACTTTGCAACTGCAAGGACTAGAATCTTGCTTTCATTTTTCCCCCTCTGCCCACAATACTGAGCACCTCTGGAAGCTGTATTTTCTGCCCAGTATAGCATTCTGAACATTTCTTGCCATTCTGAATTGCAGCATGCACTTAGGTTTACCTGTGCTGCTTGTGTTGCTTGCATTTCAGCCATATTCTTGTGCATCAGAATTGGACCTTGGTTTGTAACTCCATGTGCACTGAAAGCAAGTGCTGAGCTTTCTTCATTTTTAAGGGCCTCTGAACGCTGTACTAAATACATCTTTAAGGGAAATGATTGTGCATTCTACAGAAATTGGCACCTTTGTTGAGTGACTGTATGAGGGTTTTAAAAAAAGGCAGAGGTGTGGGAGAAAAATGGGGAACCACAGCTTTTTGCTACTCCTAGCATATCGGAGGCTTGTCTTCTGCCCTTGCTTCTCAGAATAATCTGAGAGCAATGACTGTTCTGCTTGGATGCTTCCTGTTGCTTTTCAGAGAAGCTGTCTTTGTGGGAGATGTTCTGCTCTGACAAGTTGAAACAAGCAGCAGTGGCCAGATTTGCCACTTGATGGCACTGTGCATAAATCATAGAATCACACAATTGTTGAAGCCAGAACGAAATAATGATCAATTCAACCCGCTTCCCAAACCTTTTCCTTCAAGCTCAGTGCCATGCATCATCCAAGCATTAAACTAGGTGCTCTGTGAAATACAAAGTGTAGCGTTGAAGATACTGGCAAAATTGCTGGCTGACTCCTCCCTATGTAGTTTTTATTTGTCCTTCGGGGTTTGAATGGCTGCCCTTGCCTCTGTTTTTTTATTATGCTTTGGTGAGATGTGCTAGGCTGTATCTCCATTAGGTGACAGTCTGTTTTCTTTCTGCATATATATATATATGCAGTTTCCCACTTCCTTGTTTAGATTTTGCATGTTTTAGACTGAGGCATAAATTACAGTCTGAAATCCCCAATAGACTGCATTTTACATTTTGCTTCTCATAATCATGCAAAGTGAGAAGTATATAAGGGAGGAATGGTACCTAAGTAAACTATTAGGAGGCTCAAGCTCTTGAAAACTCAGTAGATTCACCCTGCTGCCACCAACTAAAGGTTTCTAACCATATAGCTAATTCCTATTGGTTGAAACTTCCATTATGTGTCAGTTGCTAGCAATTGGGATCTGGCCTTGTTTTGTATACATGCCTTGTAATAATCTCTATTCCAGTACATATTTTTGAGTATGCTCTCAGTCTCTGGTGCCATCTAGTGCCTAAATGGAGAATTCTGCAATCCACAGAATACCATACAAGTGACACCTGTAACAAAATGTTGCAGTGCTAACTATTCCTGTTCAGATTGTCAGGAAGCCTCTTCCAGGATACTCTGTTCTCCTACTCCCCCAGTTTTATTGATCTGCCCACTATTCAAATATCAGATAGTGTTTTGTGGTGTCTAAGCATGATCCACTCTCATTGGACCTTCTGTTCTCCCTTCTGGACGGTGTAGGGTCATAACAGGTTTTGTGTGCGTGTTTCCACAGACCCTGATGTTTCCCCAAGCCTGCTGATACCTTCTTTGTCTGTGGATAACCTTTTTGGCCACATAAATATCTACACTGAGAACTCAGTCAACTATTTGAGGGAGGGGGAGGGGGAGAGAAATTCCTGTGAGTGGTGATGGATTAAGCCTTAGGAGGCAGAGGCATTAATGGGTGTATGGGGCCAGTTCTGCTATAGTCTGACTAACCAATATTATCTTCACATGATCGTGTGGAAGCAGCCCCTGGCCAAGTAGAGGAAAAGGGTGATGGAGTGTCACCCTGGGTACCTCACTGAGTATCTTTCCTTAATAATGTGAGCTTTTCTTATTTGGACTGCACAACCTCATAATTTTGCCTTTGATTCTCTCTGGCTGTATTAAAGGAATTGTACATTCCTGTTTTCTCCATGATATGAGAAGCTGGTTTCTCTTGCAGCTCTCACATCAAAGGGGAATGTTCCCAGCTGATAGCAGTTGCATCTGAAGCAGAATGCATTCTCCTGAGTGCTGGGGTATGGTCAACTGTCCATTAAGGAGCACTCCTTTCTTTGATGTCGGTGCAGAAACCACAGCTGGGATCCATTTCTTAATAGTATACCATATAAGAATGCAAAAAAGGCATATACAATTCAGTGACTGCTTCAGGACTACTGTGGGTTGGCATGGGAAGAGGACAGTCTCACAGCAATTATCAATCAGCTTAGAAGCATAGCAGCCTATTATTGCTTTTCATATTTCATGTATCTGGATGGCTTTGGGGAGCATGGGGGAGCCCCCATTACTGTGATCATAGGTAGGGGGAGATAAGGTGTTGGGGAGCCAACAAGCCAGCTGAGAGACTAGATACAACTATTGCCTCTTCTGGTTTTTCCCTCCACCAGCCAATTTCTGGCAGTCTGCCCTCAGGTCTGGTGCTGCTGAATGCCAAATCCCTTTTCTATGACTGGATTGTGGATGAGTGGGCTGACCTGGTTTGTATTACTGAGACCTGGGTGGGTGAGCTGGGAGGGGTCACTCGGCAGTGCTCTCCTGGATACATGGTATAGCACCACTATCGAGGGCTGGAGGGGGAGGTGGCCATGGGCTATAGGAGTACGATCTCCCTCTCTAGGCTGCTTATGCAGTTGAGTGTAGGTCTTGAGTGTTTGCAGCTTATGCTGGATGCCTGAGACAGTCTCAGGCTTGGGTTTGAGGACCTCTAGAATGATGGTTCTGGGGGGTCTTAACGTTCATGCTGGAGCTGCTGTATCTGGGGTGGCTCGAGACACCATGGCTGCCATGAGAACATCTCAGCATTTTATTGGCACAAGACATGTAAAAAGACACAACCTTGATCTGGTTTTCTTGACTGGGCAGGAGGATGTCAGTCTGAAAGTAGGGGAATTAAAATCAACCCCTTGTGGTCAGATCACTTTCTACTGCCTTTTAGACTCTTGGCTCCCTTTCTCCTCTGCAAGGGTGGGGGAACTTTTAAAACAGTCTGCCCCCAGAGGTTATTGGATCCTGATGGTTTCCAGAAGTGCTGGGGAAGTGCCCAGCTAGTATGGCACTCATGTCAAAGCCCAGGTTGCTCTGTGGAATGCAGAGATAGCTTGAGATGTGGACCAAGTGTTTGGTCAAGTCCAGCCCACCACTTGTGTGCTTGACCCTTGTACATCATGGCTCATTTCAGCAACGAAGGGATTTCTAACTAGGTTCAGGAGGCTCTTGAGAGAGGGAGTGGTGCCAGCCTCTAATGAGGCTGTAATGAAGCCACTCCCAAAAAAGCCTAGTCTTGAGCCCAGATGATGTTAATAACCATAGGCCCATAGCCAACATCCCCTTCCTGGGCAAGGTCGTTGAACAGGTAGTGGATGAGCAGCTCCAGGTGCTCTTGAATGAAACAGATTACCTGGATCATTTCAGTCAGGCTTCAGGCCTGGTTTTGGAATGGAAACTACCTTGGTCACCCTGTGGAATGACCTTTACTGGGAAAAAAACAGGAAATGTAACCCCATTGATTCTCTTCTACCTCTCACAGTGACTTTTGATACTACCAGTTCGTTTTCTTCTGGATAAGCTGGCTGGCCTAGGAATAGGAAGCACCGCATTGCAGTGGTTCTTTTCTTAACTTGACTGGCTGATTCCAGAAGGTGTTTCTGAGGGATTATTGCTCTGTGCCATGGCAGTTATACCATGGGGAACTGCAGAGTCCTATTTTATCCCCGATGCTATTTAATATCTAAATGAAAAAAACTGGAAGTAGGCTGAGGTGTCACTCAGTAGATGACACTCAGTTTTCCCTCTTTTTTTCATCAAGCCCAGGTGATGCAGTGGCTGCTCTGAATCGGTGTCAAAGCATAGTAATGGATTGGATGGGGACCAACAAACTGAGGCCCAGTCCAGGCACGATGGAAGTGCTGTTAGCTGATAGTTCATCTGTCCAGTGGGGTGATACTCAACCTGTTCTGGATGAGGTTGCACTCCACCTGGAGGGCAAAGTTTGTGGTTTTGGGGTGCTCCTGGGTCCAGAATTATCACTTCAGGCAGGAGTAGACTCAGTGGCATAGAGCACCTTTTATTAGCTTAAGCTGATGCACTAACTATGACTGTCTGGACAGAGGGAGCCCAGCTACAGTTATCCATGCCCTGGTATTCACTTGTTTGGACTAATGCAGTGCACTGTATATGAAATTGCCTTTGAAAACAATCTGGAAACTTCAACTGGCCCAAAACAGGGCAGCAACATTGTTAATAGGGATTGGCTCATGAGAACACTATACACCAGTCCTCTTCCAGCTACACTGTCTGCCAGTTGAAGTCCAGGCCTGACTCAAGTGCTGGTACTAACATTCAAAGCCCTAGACTGCTTGGGGCCAAGTTTTTTGAAGGATTGCCTCCTCCCATATGTACCTACCTGGAACCTGAGGTCATCTTCAGGGGTCCTTCTCTAGGAACTCCTTTCAAAGGAAGTGAGGCAGATGCCTACCAGGAGGGGGGCCTTTTCAGTTGTGGCATCAGTTTAGGATTGAGCTCCCCAAAGAGATGCATCTGGCACCTACTAAGTATACTTTTTGGTGCCAGATGAAAACCGTTTTATTTTCCTGGCACTGTAACAATCTAACTTTTAAACTTTGTTTTCATATATTCCATTTTATTCAGCATTGCTGCTCTGCTTCTGTGCTGAATT